TGAAAAACTAACTCTCTCATATTCTGCTTTTACCATTTGAATTTAGAGTTTTTCTGCCAGATTCCGCAAAAAAAATCATCAAAAATTCACAGATTCAACCGTTACCATTTGCACCATTCATCCAAGATTTTCATATATATATATAAATAAGTTCAAAGAAGTTACATATCAATTAAGAACAAAACAAAAAAATGTCTACTACATCTTCTCAAATCTCAACTAATAAATACTACATTATCCCTCTTTTGAAATTAATTTTGTCATTTGAGTTATATAAAATTAAAATTCTCTAGGGTCAACAAAAATGGAATCGCCAGGTGGCGATTTAGTCCAATCACCAACAGAACCGTCACTGTAATCTTCTCCAAGCCGCTTAATACACCATAAATCCTCGGCGCACGATAGCACTTTCCAATGCGGTATCCGTCGCCGGAGCGGCTCTCCTCCGGCGACTTCCGCCGCCACAACGCTACATCCTCCTTTCTTCGCCAGATTATGCGCGTGAGCACACAACGCCTTCACCATTTTCTCAGCTCGTGGTCCCTCTCCGCCGATTCCGTACATAAAATGCAGCCCGAACGGTCGGAAAACCGCCGGAATCGACGGAAGTTTTAAAAACGGCAGCGTTTTGTCCACCACGCGCGTCGTTTTGGCTAACACGCGCCTTAATCTCGACGCGCCGCGAACTTCTAACCGAAACGAGTCTTTACAATTCCACACGCTCAAAACCGCCCAAGAATCCGGTGGATACTCCAGGAATTTAGCCGAACCGGGCCATGACCCGTACCCGGATCCGTAACAGCTGCCACGTGGAACAGCGACGAATGTTCCTAGCGAGAGTTTGTTATCGAGAACCGAGTCAATGTCTCGTGGGAAAAACTCGGTTGTGCTAAACCGGAGTCGGTATAGTGACTCAGCGTCAGACGGATCAAGCTTGATTATGGTGACCCGATTAGAAATGTTGACCCGGTGTGCGTAAACCGGGTTAACCAAAATCGACGGCGTACGGAACTTGGAGTAACCACATTTTCCGGTGAAAAGATTAACGGACGCTTGATTGTCGTTTTCAGTAGCGATATAAGAATATTCGGCGCCGTTTTGACTAAACCAATCTTCCATTTTCTTCACGAGCTTAAACCCTATCCCTTTCCTCCTGAGTAACCAAAAAAAAAACGTTAAGTTGTTAAATAACGTGATTAATCGTTAGTAATACAATAACGTGACTAATGATTAGCGTGAATTACGTGGAAATTAATAACAGACCTGTGAGTAGGGGAAACGCGGAGGCCCAAAACGTAAGCGAGTTTAGTGTAAAGGGGTTTAGTGGTAACGACGTCGTTTTGTGGTTTGTGAGATAAATCGAGTATTTTGCTACCACATGTAACGGTTTTTATACATCCTCGAATCATTCCAACTAATTCCTTCTTCTCCTCTGTAACAATCTCGGCCACCTGTTACAATTTCCA